ATTTCTTTCTGTGCTGGAGATTGAAGTGAAGGCCTCATACATGTTAGGCAGGCACTCTGCCACTGAGCATATATATCCCCAGCCCACATGTTAGGCAAAATACCTGAGGAAATCAAAATTATAAGGATGACAGATTTATTTTGCATCCTGATTTCAGAGATTTTAGTCACAGTTGGCTGGCTGCATTATTTTGGGCCATTGTGAGGCAGAATGTCATGGTGGGGAGTGCACAGTGGAGCAGAGCTGCTTACTTCCTGTCAGTGGGAAGCAGAGAGGATAGTCAGGGCCCCATCCAGTGTTCTCTTAAGTCCGTGCCTTCCGGGACTTGGCTTCCTTCCATTAGGCTCCGCTCTCAAAGTTCTACCACTTCCCAGTAGCACTGACATGTGAAACTTGGGACACTAGACCCAAACTGGAATAGTACTTTTTTTTTTTAAAGTGCTAGAGCGGAAACCCAGGCCCTCATGGATGCTAGGCAAGTGTTCTACCATGGAGTCATATAGCTAGCTCCTATATTTTAAGATTTTTTTTCATCCATGAAAAGACAATTTTACTTCTTGTCCAATCTAGGTGCCTTTTATTTTCATTTTCTTGCCTAATTCCTTTTGCTGTAACCTCCATGATGTTGAATCAAGTGGCAAGAGTGAGCATCCTATTTTTTTCCTGATCTTAGGGGGAAAGACTTCCAAGAGCTTTTTGCTTCCAAAGCACAAGGTCTTAATATAAATTTTTTTTTTTTTTGGTACCAGGGAATTGAACTCTGGACCTTGCACTTTCAAGCCAGGCGGTGGAACCACTGAGCTAAATCCCCGGTCCCTAATTTTTAAATACTTTCAAATGATTTTTTTTTTTTGAAACAGGGTCTCACTATGTAGCTTAGACTGGCCTTGGACTCACTATGTGGCCCGGGCTGGCCTCAAACTAGGCAGTTCTTTTGCCTCAGCCCCCCTCCAAGGGCTGGAATTACAGATGTTCACCACCACACCTGGCTAAATGATTAAAATTATATCATAATTTTCCTTTGCTGTGCTGCCACAAGCTACATCACTATATTTTAGTAAAAAACAGTTTTGCATATTAGTGGCTTTCAGGATAAAAGATTTTTATATTGGGATTGATTTTGTGAGGTATGTTAGTGATAATTCCTGCTCATGAATTTGGTGGGCTATTTAAAAATGTTAAACAAAAATATTTATACAGTGTTTTTAGTCTCAAAATAGAGAAGTAAAACCAATATATAATATTTTGACAGTCACTCTGTAAGGTACTGTGGTACTTATTTTGCATAAAAACATGTAATCTTCAAAGATAAGTGAACATGGGACGTTGTTTGCTTCCTTTCACATGGGTGCTTCTTTTTTTTCTGCAGTGCTGAGTTGAGCCCAAGGCCTTGCACATGTGAGCCAAGTGCTCTACCCTGAGCTGCTTATCCACCCGTT